ATCACCCATCGACATCCATTGATGAGACCGTTCCCTCCCATCAGCCACAGCAGAGGCCCAGGACCTGGAACTTTGTGGTCATGTGACTGCACAGCTCCGCCTCTTCTCAGTAATATGGAGAGCCGACAACGGGGATGACCCCACCAGGGTCCGTTGCTGTAGGCGTTAATGTAGGGGTAGAGAGTTCCCTCCCACCAGGATCCGAACGTGTGTGGTCATATGACCTCTAGGACGGTGGTAAAAATTAACATTTAGACCGACATTTATTGCAAATGTAATGGCGGTGGGGAGGCAACATTTCCAAGGTGTGGCGCCTTTCCTGCAATTGATAACAAATAACATTTAGTTACATAGTTAGTCTGGCTGAAAAAAAGACAAAAGTCCATCCAGTTCAACCATAAAAAAAAAAAAAGTTACAATCCTCCACCCACAGTTGATCCAGAAGAAGGCAAAAATAACAACAAAGTACGATCCAACTTGCTCCTGCTGGAAAAAAATTCCTTCCTGATCCCCCGAGAGGCAATCGGATATTCCCGGGATCAACTTGCCCTATAAATTTAGTAACATTTTAATAACAAATAAATATCCGTTTGACCTCTAGGCCTTTTCTGACAAATGGCGCATACCAGGGGCGGACTGACAACTCATGTGGCCCCCGGGCAATAGGGGATCATGGGGCCCCTGTGTCCTTGCCCAAACTCAAAAAAGCCTATGAAAAAGGTACCAGGGGCATCTCATGGGGCCCCCTACTGACCCCGGGCCCTCGGGCAGTGCCCGAGTTTCCAAATGGCGCATACACATGTACTGGGATCTCTCAGACCTCGGATCTCTCCCCTGCCCTTCAGAGCTTCAGATCATACCAAGATCGGTTTGATGCCTTTTTTTCACACCACTAAGGGTTTGTTTACATTCAGCAAAACCGAAAGTGATGATATGCGCATCACTTCCAGTTTCTTAGACCAGGGATCTCCAGACTATTCAAACAAAGGGCCAGCATACTGTCTACTTCAGACCAAAGGAGAGCCGGATTGTGGTCAGTGGGGGTAGAAAATGTTCCAAACCCAGCATGAGTGAGGATAAACATGGCCTCAGGGCTGGTGGTCATTTGGAAGAGTAGTGCTCCATCATTGGTGTCAGTGGGGAAATAGTGCCCCATCATTGGTGTCAGTGGGAGAAATAGTACCCCATTGTTTGGTGTCAGTGGGAGGAATAGTGCCCATTTACTGGTGTCAGTGGGAGGAATAGTGCCCCATTGTTGGTGCCAGTAGGAGGAATAGTGCCCCATTGTTGGTGACAGTGGGAGGAATATTAGTCCATCATTGGTATCAGGGGGAGGAATGGTGCCCCATCATTGGTGTCAGTGGGAGGAATAGTATCCCATCATTGGTATCAGTGGGAGGAATAGTGTCCCATCATTGGTGTCAGTGGGAGGAATAGTGCCCCATTGTTGGGGTCAGTGGGAGGAATAGTGTCCCATCATTGGTGTCAGTGGGAGGAATAGTGCCCCATCATTGGTATCAGTGGGAGGAATAGTGCCCCATCATTGGTGTCAGTGGGAGGAATAATTCCCCATTGTTGGTGTCAGTGGGAGGAATAGTGCCCCATCATTGGTATCAGTGGGGGGAATAGTGCCCCATCATTGGTTCAGTGGTAGGAATAGTGCCCCATCATTGGTGTCAGTGGGAGGAATAGTGTCCCATCATTGGTATCAGTGAGAGGAATAGTGCCCCATCATTGCTGTCAGTGGGAGGAATAGTGTCCCACCATTGGTGTCAGTGGGAGGAATAGTGCCCCATCATTGGTGTCAGTGGGAGGAATAGTGTCCCATCATTGGTTCAGTGGGAGGAATAGTGTCCCATCATTGGTATCAGTGGAGGAATAGTGCCCCATCATTGGTATCAGTGGGAGGAATAGTGCCCCATCATTGGTGTCAGTGGAGGAAAAGTGCCCCATCATTGGTATCAGTGGGAGGAATGGTGCCCCATTGTTGGTATTAGTAGGAGGAATAGTTACCCATCACTGGTATCAGTTGAAGACATAGTGCCCCATTGTTGGTGTCAGTGGGAGGAACAGTATCCCAAGGGTTGGATAAAGGCAAGCAAAGGGCCACATCTGGCCCTCAGGCCACAGTTTGTTGACACCTGTCAGACCATTGAAAAGATCAGAGCCATTCCAGGCTCCAGCTCTATGGCCAGCCAGTGGAACTACCAGCTGGACGCTCGTGTCTCCCGATGGGACGGTAGAGCCCAAGAGAGCTACAGAAGGCTTCGGGTGAAAGCCAACTGCCGGATGATGCCTTCAGCCACCGGTGTGTCCATTCCCCTCCCCCGTTCTTTCAGTTGCTACCATCATCCCGGTATACCCACTCCAAGTCCAGCGACGTACCGGTACGTCACCGGTCCTTAAGTGGATAAAGAAATAATAACAGTAACGGGGCGGACTGATAACTCATGGGGCCCCCGGGCAATAGGGGATCATGGGGCCCCTGTGTCCTTGCCCAAACTCAAAAAAGCCTATGAAAAAGGTACCAGGGGCATCTCATGGGGCCCCCTACTGACCCCGGGCCCTCGGGCCGTGCCCGAGTTTCCAAATGGTCAGTCCGCCCCCTGAGCAGTAATAAAATATTTCAGTAGTCATTTAAAAGTAAAATCTCTCAGTTACCATCCCCCCCCCTCCTTCCCAAGTGCTGATGTCGGGGCGTCAGCACCAATAAGGTGTCACTTCTCCGATGGTCTCCATTCTCCCCCCCCCCCCTTCCCAAGTGCTGATGTCGGGGAGCCAGCACCAATAAGGTGTCACTTCTCCCATGGTCTCCATTCTCCCCCCCCCCACTTTTCAAGTGCTGATGTCGGGGCGCCAGCACCAATAAGGTGTCACTTCTCCCATGGTCTCCATTCTCCCCCCCCCCCTTCCCAAGGGCTGATGTCGGGGTGTCAGCACCAATAAGGTGTCACTTCTCCCATGGTCTCCATTCTCCCCCCCCCCATTTTCAAGTGCTGATGTCGGGGCGGCAGCACCAATAAGGTGTCACTTCTCCGATGGTCTCCATTCTCCCCCCCCCCCACTTTTCAAGTGCTGATGTCGGGGCGCCAGCACCAATAAGGTGTCACTTCTCCCATGGTCTCCATTCTCCCCCCCCTTCCCAAGGGCTGATGTCGGGGCGCCAGCACCAATAAGGTGTCACTTCTCCGATGGTCTCCATTCTCCCCCCCCCCCTCCTTCATTCCCAAGTGCTGATGTCGGGGCGTCAGCACCAATAAGGTGTCACTTCTGCAATGGTCTCCATTCTCCCCCCCCCCTCCTTCCCAAAGGCTGAGGTCGGGGCGCCAGCACCAATAAGGTGTCACTTCTACGCCGGTCTCCATTCCCCCCCTCCTCCTTTCCAAGGGCTGATGTCGGGGTGTCAGAGCTGTCAGCCCCAGTAAGGTGTCACTTCTCCGATGGTCTCCATTCTCCCCCCCCCCCTCCTTCCCAAGGGCTGATGTCGGGGCGTCAGCACCAATAAGGTGTCACTTCTCCGATGGTCTCCATTCTCCCCCCCCCCCCTCCTTCCCAAGGGCTGATGTCGGGGCGCCAGCACCAATAAGGTGTCACTTCTCCGATGGTCTCCATTCTCCCCCCCCCCTCCTTCCCAAGGGCTGATGTCGGGGTGTCAGCACCAATAAGGTGTCACTTCTCCGATGGTCTCCATTCCCCCCCCCCTCCTTCCCAAGGGCTGATGTCGGGGTGTCAGAGCTGTCAGCCCGGTAAGGTGTCACTTCTCCGCCGGTCTCCATTCCCCCCCCCCCCCCCGCGCTCTTCCACCCTCCGCACAGCCGGCCTATAATGAACCATCTTTAAAGCAGCAGGTGGCCTCTGTTTTCCTTTTAATCAGCCTTATATTAATACAATTAGAGAAATGCGCGGCGCCAAAACCCCGACGCTCTGAACGAGCAAACGGCATAAATATTCATCGTTCTCAAAAAAAAAAAATATTGTATCGTTTTTAAATTTCAAATCCCCCCCCCCCCCCCACCTTGATTAAAAAAAAAAAAAGCGCAAAAATAAGCATTGTGCTCCTAATGTGCGAGCAGCGGGTAGCGGCGCCCTTGACTGGAGGGCATGTCATCCGTTTCTCCAGCTCACCGTACCGCCGTCAGCTTGGCAGCGATGACAGACGCAGCTCCTGCCATTAATTTCTTCCCTTTCATGCCTTCAATCCAAATGGTCCGTATTCTCCGCGGGGAGGCATCAAGGTCTTTGGCGCCTTTCTTCCCCGTGCCTTCTCCAGCCGACGTATAAATCAAGTTCAGATAAGGGGGGGCGCACATCAATCTCTTCATTGGCCCGTGCCCACCGGCAGACTACTGAACTTTAACTGAAAGATTCTCTCCGCCGCGATTCGCAGGCGACCGCGTTCTTCGGGGGGAAAAAAAAGCACAACAAAGCCGAACGCATCGAGAGACAATTTGTAGGTTTTGGCTTTTAAACCAGAAGCGTCACCTCCGGAGCGAAAAAAAAGAAATAAATGTGGAGTTGTCCTCGAAGACCTCAGAAGGGAAGGATAAATAAATCGATGTCTGGGGAATCGGCGGAATCGGCTTCTTCTTTTTTTTTTGTTCCCCTGGTTTGAAGAATCCGCGGTTTCTTTGTCAGTTGGTGGGCGGAATCCAAATCAAACATTTGGCGATGAAAAAGGCGCGGGCTACTGAAAGCGGAGAAATGACAAACAAACACGGGGTGCACGCCGGACAAATAACAGGGGGGGAGGGGGGTTGTTAATGAAGCAGTTGGGGGCCCCTGGACTCGGATGGGGCGAGGTGTTGGATAGTATTTGGGGGTCAGTGACTTCGTCCAATTGAAACACAAATGGCGCTTTCGGCAGGACTGCGCCCAGCGCCAATCGCAGCAATCCTTGGGGTCCGATTTTGAACTGGAATAACCGCCACCGAATCCCGTTGAGCTGAAATTCATTCTGCTTCTATTTTGCCTTCCTTGGTTTCCCCCTCCCCCTCATCACAGGACACCTGTGCAAGACTGGAGGGGAGGAGCCTGTACACCTGTGCAAGACTGGAGGGGAGGAGCCTGTACACCTGTGCAAGACTGGAGGGGAGGAGCCTGTACACATGTGCAAGGTTAACGGGGAGGAGCCTGTACACCTGTGCAAGACTGGAGGGGAGGAGCCTGTACACCTGTACAAGACTAACGGGGAGGATCCTGTACACCTGTGCAAAACTAAGGGGGAGGATCCTGTACACCTGTGCAGGACTAACGGGGAGGAGCCTGTACACCTGTGCAAAACTAAGGGGGAGGATCCTGTACACCTGTGCAAGAAAAAGGGGAGGAGCCTGTACACCTGTGCAAGACAGAAGGGGAGGAGCCTGTACACCTGTGCAAGACTAACGGGAAGGAGCCTGTACACCTGTGCAAGACTAACGGGAAGGAGCCGGTACACCTGTGCAAGACAGAAGGGGAGAAGCCGGTACACCTGTGCAAGACAGAAGGGGAGGAGCCTGTGCACCTGTGCAAGACAGAAGGGGAGGAGCCCCCTCATCGATATGATCATGACATTTTTTTAATATACCTTATTTTACACCTAATGATACCTTATTTTACACCTAATGATGTCATCACTGGATCTCTGTGCTTAACTATGCAATGCAGGCAGATCATGGCTGGTGGGAGGGTGCTGTACATAGCTTCCTGAAAACATCACAGCACCCTGCTTCAGTACTCAAGAGCCCTCAGTCCTGATGTCCTCAGTGGGCTGGCTCTTGGGAGGAGTTAAGCAAATTTCAAAATGCCTTTATGGGTGGGTGTCAGTCTGGAAGAGTGGGCGTTCCAAGGCAGTCTTTATTTGCATGCAGACCACCCACATGAAAGAACTGCAATTGCAGTGAAATCAGAGGAAGCCATTTCAGTCCAGGAGAGGCGCTGGTACACCTGTGCAAGACTGAAGGGGAGGAGCCGGGTACTACTGTGCGAGAATGAAGGGGAGGAGTCGGTACACCTGTGCGAGAATGAAGGGGGGAGGAGTCGGTACACCTGTGCGAGAATGAAGGGGAGGAGTCGGTACAACCTGTGCAAGACTGAAGGGGAGGAGCCGGTACTACTGTGCGAGAATGAAGGGGAGGAGTCGGTACACCTGTGTGAGAATGAAGGGGAGGAGTCGGTACACCTGTGCGAGAATGAAGGGGAGGAGTCGGTACACCTGTGCAAGACTGAAGGGGAGGAGCCGGTACACCTCTGCAAGACTGAAGGGGAGGCGCCAGTACACCTGTGCAAGACTGAAGGGGAGGAGATGGGGCACCTGTGCAAGACTGAAGGGGAGGAGCCGGTACACTTGTGCAGGACTGAAGGGGAGGAGCTGGTACACCTGTGCAAGACTGAAGGGGAGGAGCTGGGATACCCATGCAAAACTGGAGGGAGGGAGGAGTCGGTACACCTGTGCAAGACTGAAGGGGAGGAGCCGGTACACCTGTGAAAAAACTGAAGGGGGGGAGCCGGTACACCTGTGCAAGACTGAAGGGGAGGAGCCGGTACACCTGTGCAAGACTGAAGGGGAGGAGCTGGTACACCTGTGCAAGACTGAAGGGGAGGAGCCGGTACACCTGTGCAAGACTGAAAGGGAGGAGCCAGTACACCTGTGAAAGACTGAAGGGGAGGAGCCGGTACACCTGTGAAAGACTGAAGGGGAGGAGCTGGTACACCTATGAAAGACTGAAGGGGAGGAGCTGGACTGGAAGGGGAACCACTGTGGAACCGTAATAAAGGGCCCGTGACGGGAGTTAAGGGCCCCGGGATCAATGGGAAACAGGAGAATCTGCAACGATGTTCCTTACAATTCTCAAAATGTAAATCGTGTATTTGGGGGGTAAGATGGGATTTCATGTTTCTTCACCAGCGTTGGGATTTAGAAACGAGTGAAGAGATTTTGCTGAAATTTCTTTCATTGTGAAATGATTCATTTCATCTCCGTCAGAATTCTCCTCAAATGTCATCTATACTGCTAAGGGGAGGCCTAAAATAAGGATCACATGGCTTTGTTTTCCAACAAATGTCTGAATGACTTGACAGATGGTCAGGGTTAGAATTGTCATTAAGGTCAGGGTTAGAATTGTCATTAGGGTCAGGGTTAAGGTTATCATTAGGGTCAGGGTTAGGATTATCATTAGGGTCAGGGTTAGGATTATCATTAGGGTCAGGGTTAGGGTTATCATTAGGGTCAGGGTTAGGGTTATCATTAGGGTCAGGGTTAGGGTTATCATTAGGGTCAGGGTTAGGGTTATCATTGTGGTCAGGGTTAGGTTATCATTATAGTCAGGGTTAGGATTGTCATTAGGGTCAGGGTTAGGGTTATCATTAGGGTCAGGGTTAGGGTTATCATTAGGGTCAGGGTTAAGGTTATCATTAGGGTCAGGGTTAGGATTGTCATTAGGGTCAGGGTTAGGATTATCATTAGGGTCAGGGTTAGGATTGTCATTAGGGTCAGGGTTAGGATTGTCATTAGGGTCAGGGTTAGGATTGTCATTAGGGTCAGGGTTAGGATTGTCATTAGGGTCCGGGTTAGGGTTATCATTACTATCAGGGTTAAGGTTATCATTAGGGTCAGGGTTAGGATTGTCATTAGGGTCAGGGTTAGGATTATCATTAGGGTCAGGGTTAGGGTTATCATTGGGGTCAGGGTTAAGATTATAATTAGGGTCAGGATTAGGGTTATCATTAAGGTCAGGGTTAAGATTATAATTAGGGTCAGGGTTAGGGTTATGATTAGGGTCAGGGTTAGGGTTATCATTAGGGTCAGGATTAGGGTTATCATTGGGGTCAGGGTTAGGATTATCATTAGGGTCAGGGTTAGGGTTATCATTATAGTCAGGGTTAGGATTATGATTAGGGTCAGGGTTAGGGTTATCATTAGGGTCAGGGTTAGGATTGTCATTAGGGTCAGGGTTAGAATTGTCATTAGGGTCAGGGTTAGGATTATCATTAGGGTCAGGGTTAAGGTTATCATTAGGGTCAGGGTTAGGATTGTCATTAGGGTCAGGGTTAGGATTGTCATTAGGGTCAGGGTTAGGATTGTCATTAGGGTCAGGGTTAGGGTTATCATTAGGGTCAGGGTTAGGGTTATCATTAGGGTCAGGGTTAAGGTTATCATTAGGGTCAGGGTTAGGATTGTCATTAGGGTCAGGGTTAGGATTATCATTAGGGTCAGGGTTAGGATTGTCATTAGGGTCAGGGTTAGGATTGTCATTAGGGTCAGGGTTAGGATTGTCATTAGGGTCAGGGTTAGGATTGTCATTAGGGTCCGGGTTAGGGTTATCATTACTATCAGGGTTAGGGTTATCATTGGGGTCAGGGTTAAGATTATAATTAGGGTCAGGATTAGGGTTATGATTAGGGTCAGGGTTAGGGTTATCATTAGGGTCAGGATTAGGGTTATCATTGGGGTCAGGGTTAGGATTATCATTAGGGTCAGGGTTAGGGTTATCATTATAGTCAGGGGTTAGGGTTATCATTAGGGTCAGGGTTAGGATTATGATTAGGGTCAGGGTTTAGGGTTATCATTAGGGTCAGGGTTACGGTTATCATTAGGTTCAGGGTTAGGATTGTCATTGGGGTCAGGGTTAGGATTATCAGTAGGGTCAGGGTTAGGATTATCATTAGGGTCAGGGTTAGGGTTATCATTAGGGTCAGGGTTAGGATTATCATTAGGGTCAGGGTTATCATTAGGGTCAGGGTTAATGTTATCATTAGGGTCAGGGTTAGGTTATCATTGTTGTCAGGGATCCCCGCGATCCGTCCCTCGATGGTCCCGGCGCAGGCGCACTGCTCCTCCCAGTACACGGGCACTAGGTCCGGGCCGGCCGCGGCGTTCGAGTTCGCGCATGCGCAGTAGAAGCCGCGGCCGCCCGCTGGGCACCAATGGCAGCGCAGGGCGGGATATTTAAAGGTCCCTGAGCTGTCATTTCGTTGCCTTCTGGTCTTACCTGCATTCCTGATCCTGTGAACCTGTATACTGTAAGTTATTGACCCGGATTGCTCTTTGACCTTGCTGATTTCTCCTGCCCAGACCCTTGCTTGCCTGACCTCTCTCCCTGGATGCCCCTCTGTAGATCTGACCTCCTGTTGCTGACCTGGCGTGTGACCCGACGATTCTCTGCCTGCTCCCTTGTACCTTACCGTCCTCTACATTACCGACTCGGCCTGTCTGACTACGCACTTGCTCAGCCATCCATCCATCCATCCCATCAGGGTCACCCGACCTCCTCACATTTGGCTCTCCCTGGTTGGAACCCCTGGCGGACACCCCTACCACTGACAGGTGTGCTCAGTAGAGGCGACCTGGTCTCAGGGTACTACCAAAGTCCATCCCCACCATCAGGGGCCCTGGTGAACAAGTACCCTGGGGCTTAGATTCCGCGCTCTGGGCACGCCTGACCGGTGGAGTGCTAGTGGTGCCGCTCGGCGGTCCCTCACAGTACCAGAAGGCCATGACTGAGCCTCGAGGAGGACTCACCCCGTTGGACGAGGTGTGCAGGCACCTGTCTACCCTGACGCAAGCTGTAAACACATTACAGGACAGATGTCTGCAGATCGAGAATCGGTTTCAGGCCTGCACCATATCTGTTCCTGTTTCACAGGCCCCGGCTCCTGCACCTCCAGTTCGCAGCAGCCCACGAGCCGGCTCCTGGGGCCTCCCACATCACCTCCCTATGGCGGAACCCCGAGTACCCTTACCCGAGCGCTTCCATGGGGATCGCACACGTTTTCGGTCATTTCGTGACTCTTGTCTTCTCTTTTTTGAACTACAGCCACGGACCTTTTTGACAGAGTCAGTGAAAGTGGGGTTTGTTGTCTCCCTGCTGCAGGGTGAACCCCAAGACTGGGCCCACCGACTAAGGGGAAACAATGACCCTCACCTGATTTCGGTCGACAGCTTCTTTAACGCTATGGCCATCTTATATGATGACCCACAACGGGCGGCCTCGGCCGAGGCCACGTTATACACACTCCGACAAGGCCATTTTGAATACCTGGTCATGCCTTTCGGGTTATGCAATGCGCCAGCCACCTTCCAGCACTTTGTAAACGATATCTTTAGGGACTTCCTGGACATCTTTGTCATCGTCTACTTAGACGACATTTTGATTTTCTCATCCTCCCCTGGGGGAGCACAGGTACATGTAACGAAGGTGTTGGGGCGGTTGCGGCCTAGCACGGGTTGTACGCTAAAAGCAGAGAAATGCTGCTTTTTGAACAGGCTAGCGTTACATTCCTGGGTCTGATTATCTCCACCACGGGGCGGTCGCAATGGACCCTCAGAAGGTCTCAGCGATCCTAGATTGGCCTGAACCCACGGACAGGAAAGTGTCCAACGTTTTATTGGGTTCGCAAATTTCTACCGGAAGTTCATCAAGAACTTCTCGGGTCTGGTCTCCCCTATCACTCAACTAACTAAGCTTGGGACGCGATTCAGATGG